GTCTCCCTTTAACCCCCCCTCCCCCCCCCCCCTCGCGGCCCAGGGGCGGAGGCTCGCCCTCCCCGCCATCGACCACGACGAGGCCGCGCTGCGCACTCTGCGCGAGCGCGCCGAGGCGGCCAAGCCGCAAGCTGTGACAATACCACCAAAAACATGACATATTCATCAATCATACTCGGGTCTAGGCGGCGAAGCGCAAGCTCTCGGTCGTCAAGCGCGTCTCGGTCCTCTTCCCGTCGCCGCAGTCGCCGGCGACGGGCGACCGTGAGGGCGGCGGCGAGGGCGGCGAAGGCACCTCGATCGAGCTGACCCGCGACGCGATGGAGGCTGCGTGCGAGCCGCTGCTGCAGCGGCTCAAGGCGCCTCTTTACGAGGTTGCGCTCGCTGCCGCAGTGTCGCTGCCAGGGGAGGCGCGCATGCCCCCGCCCTCCCGGCTTGCGCGAGGGTGGCCGGAGCCCTCCGTTTGGGTCGCACGTCCGAGGCAACCCTCGCGCAGGCGGCGCCGTCGTCGCCAGCAAAGAAGCGGACGGCGAAGGCGAGGCGCGCGGCGGAGGCGTGCCCTGGCAGAGCGGGCTGGGCCCTCTGGGGCTGCGGGGGGCGTGAGGGAGCCTGGTCCCCGCCGCGTAGGCGTGAACAGCGTCTCTTCACACCTGCAGTTGTGACACAGGTGGATTGTCAAGATGGTCCCCCGCCGCGTAGGCGCTCCTGCCGAGCGGCAAGCGAACCTACCTCCCGCGAGGGGAGCCGCTCGCGGAGGTGGTCCTGGTGGGGGGTGCCACGCAGATGGCGGCGGTGCGCAAGCTGGTCGCCAACCTGTTTGGCATCGACCCGCGCAGGACGGTGGCGCCGATGGAGGCGGTGGCGCTGGGCGCGGCTGTGCACGCAGGCATGCTTGCTGGCGCGCTGCCAGGCCATGTGATGCAGGCGTGGCAGGCGGAGCTGGGCCGGCTGATGGAGGGGGCGCGCGCTCCGGCGACGGAGGGCGGTGGGGAGGAGGAGGAGGACTTGCCCTTTTCATTTACGGATGAAGGGCAGGCGAGATGATTTGGCACTTGTGGACGCAGCGGCGCGTGAGTGAGATGGTAAAGTTTGATGAGAAGAGCTGTACGTGTGTGTGTTGCAACACACCGTGCCGCGCAACCGCAGTGTAGCGTTTGAAAAGCCGAGAAACCGGTTGAGAGCGTAGGGTAGCGTTCCTACGCACACACACAAAGAGAATTTAAGACACACCAATTCACTCTGACACGCTAATCTTGAAAACGCGTCCAACGGAGGAGCTCCGTGTTGCTCCCAGCGCCCTCCCCCGAGCTTCCTGCGGCCATGGCCGGTGCTACTAGTATGGGGGGCTACCTGGCTACCGCTAGAGCGACCCAACTCGTCGACATCGTCCGATGATGGTGCCTCAAAGTCAGCCTTCGGAGGCTATCGTGGGGTCGAGCCGGCAGTAGCCGCGACATGTGGTTCCACCACCCCTCGTAGGCTTTGCCTCTGCTCGCCACCGTTCCCATGCTGCCTAATGGGATGGAAAGGGAGGCTGGGCGAGCGTATAGAAGCGTGCTCGACCTCGTCGTGGCAACCTGCACGGCAGCGCTGGTAGGCGCGATGAGCGTCGTGCCACTTGACCCAAGACGGGTCGCAGGCGTCGTACCGAGCGCGTCGAGACCGTGTCCTGATGTGATCTGCACGGGTGAGTCACGTCGGCGTCAAAGGAGCGACGTGCGACCTGTCAGAGCTTGAATCTCCGATCTCAGCGGCGTCGAGTCATCTCCGGCGCGCGACAAAGGTACATCCACAGGACGCGCAGAGGCAGCTGCGACCCCGCTGAGTGGCCGGGGGCACACCGCGCCACCTGCTGTGTGCCCCCGTCCACTCGGCGGGGTCGCAGCTGCCTCTGGAAGGCACCGAGATGTACCTTTTTGCGCAAATGGTCAAATCAAGGTTTTGTAACGCGAGCTGTGCCACAGTGAAATGGAACTAGCCAAAGTAGAAAGGCGAACAAGCAACAACAGCCTGGCTCGGGCTGGACCAAGTTGCAGAAACGAGCTTTTAGTGGCTATAAGCATAGGCACTGATATATAAGTGCGCGCGGAGCGCGCTGGTGCTACCTGGACATACGCGCGGAGCGCGCTAGCTGGACACCCGCGCGGAGCGCGCCGGCTAGATACCGCGGAGCAAGAGCAAATCAACACAACCGTTCGAGTGCTGACGCCGCAAGTCGCTGCCGCCGGCTGCCAAAGTGCGCCTGGATTGCTCAGCAGCACAAGCATCCACGGAGCCAGCGAGCGCCGAGCGACATTGCCTTGACTGAGCCGGACCGCCGACATGTCGGCGGTCAAACTTGTAAAATGGTGCCGATAGCCGAGGTAGCTCCGGCGGACGTGAGAGCGCGGCCTGACGATGAAGGGAGGCGCAGATAACTGGCGGTGAACTCACTGCTGATACCTGCTGGAGCTGCGGAAGATGCAGTAGCACTGCCGCAGTGCGCAGAGCACGCGCGGAGCGCGCCGCTGGAAAGCACGCGCGGAGCGCGCCGCTGGGTAGGTGCGGAGCGCCGCCACTTGAGATTTGGGCCGGGTGACACTGCGTGTGAGTCAAACTCTTAATAGAAATCGCCCTCTAGCCCTCCACGCTCCACAACCCTCAAAATTTTCTTCGGGGCGCGCTCCGCGCGCGGCGCTCCGCGCCTCACTCCTTGAGCGTCATAGGCGCTGGCCTGCACATGTTCTGCAGCTTGGCGGGCTGGACACCCACTCTCCCAACTTAAAATCCCTGGTGGTGGCGGCGTGCCGTCCTTCCTCCCATGCCTCCCTTGGCTTGTCTGCTTTTTTCTTTCTTTCTTTGGATTGTCTACGCTCCCGCTGCATCGACGACGATGTCGCAAGGCCAGGCCTCTGAGCCGCACACGTCCGTGCGCTTCACCACCAAGCTCGAGCCGCGGTGGGTGGTATCGGACACGCCTCTCGACCTGCCCACCCGCCTCTCCCGCTACGGCCTCTCGGAGGTGGTGAACCACCTTCTCGGCGCGTCGCCCGCGCGGCCGTTCGACTTTCTGCTCGACGGCGAGCTGCTGCGTGGCTCGCTCGGCAAGGCTCTCGCGGCGCGCGGTCTCTCGGGCGAGTCCACCATCACCCTCGAGTACATCGAGCTCCTCGCGCCACCGCAGCCGAGGGGCGAGGCGCTGGTCCCGGACTGGATCTCCTCGCTGGCGCTGGCTGCCCCGGGCTCGAGCGTAGCCTCTAGCAACCCGGTGCTCTCGGGCTGCTACGACGGCGCCGCCTACCTCTGGGACGCCTCGGGCGTCCAGGCTGCCGCGCTCGGCGGCGGAGAGGGCGCTGCCGCTGTCAAGGCAGTTGCCTGGCTGGGCGAGCGGCCGGTGGTGGCGTCCAAGGACGGCGCCGTGCGCGTGTGGGCGGCGGGCGGCTCGGCGGGCGGCGCGGCGCAGCTCTCGTGCGTTGGCCACCACGCCGCCGTCGCGTGTCTCGCTGCAGCGCCCGCCGCCGACAGCCTCGCGACGGGAGGCTGGGACCGCAGCATCCTCCTCTTCCGCCCGCCCGCCGACGGCGTGCCGGCGGCGAGCAGCGAGCCCCCGCCCAGCAAGCGCGCCCGCGGCGGCGCGTCCGCTGTGACCGCCGCCGTAGCCCCGGAGGAGCTCGCCGCCGCCGCCCAGCTCTGCGGCCATACGGACTGCGTCTCTGCGCTGGCGTGGCCGACAGCAGCGCT